TGGTGTCCCTCGGTCTTATAGTCTCCGAGATATAGGCGATTATACACACTCAATCTTGAGCAAGTACGACTTAACAACGAGCCCATTAAGTACGTAGAGCAGGCAATAAACCTAGGAATAACTATAAATTAATCGTTATCTTGGTGCGACCATGTAAATAAGGCAGTTGGAAAACTTTATAGCGCACTAAGGCGTCTGTCTTTAACGCAGAACTTTCTACCTGTACAACTAAAGCTCCTTATTGCCAAGACATGCCTGACACCCTTGCTATTTTATGGGATTGAAATTTTCGGAAACTGCGATGCTGTAAGCCAAAACAAAATAAAAATAAATAAAATAAAATTAAACAAAAAAAATAATCTCTATATTAATATTAATCTCTATTAAGTACGTAGAGCAGGCAATAAACCTAGGAATAACTATAAATCAATCGTTATCTTGGTGCGACCATGTAAATAAGGTAGTTGGAAAACTTTATAGCGCACTAAGGCGTCTGTCTTTAACGCAGAACTTTCTACCTGTACAACTAAAGCTCCTTATTGCCAAGACATGCCTGACACCCTTGCTATTTTATGGGATTGAAATTTTCGGAAACTGCGATGCTGTAAGCCAAAACAAAATAAAAATAAATAAAATAAAATTAAAAAAAAAAAAAAATAATCTCCTAAAACAGTTTGTCCTGACTGACTGACTGACTGGCAATCAACGCACAGCCCAAACGGTAAGAGCTAGGAAGCTGAAATTTGGACACAAGATCCCTCTTATAGTGAAAGTGAGCACTAAGAAGGGGTTTTGGAAAATTCGAGCTCCAAAGGGGGGAAACGAGCTCCAACGTTTGTATGAAAAATCTACAATTTTTATCCGATTAACTTCAAACTTAGTTTGTATACTCTCACAAAGAATACAAAAAAAAAAACTGTATACTTGGATTTTCAATATTTTTCCTGCGGCCTGAATAATAATGATTTTCCGGTGGAAAATTCGGTAAACGAAAAGCTATTTGCAATCAACGCACAGCCCAAACGGTAAAAGCTAGGATATTGAAATTTGGGCTCAAGTATTCTATCATGGTGTAGATGCGCACTAAGAAGGGATTTTGGAAAATTCGAGCTCCAAAGGGGGGAAAAGTAGCTCCAAAGTTTGTTTGAAAATTCTGCATTTCTGAATCGATCAATTTTTATAATTTGTATAATCTATAAAAGAATACAAACAAAACTGCATACTCGGTTTTTCGAATTTTGTGTTGGAGCTTGAATTATTGGGGTTTTAATATTTATTCATTTTTTCAAATGAAAAGTTTGTGTTATAAATTTAGTCCGATCGATTTAAAATTTGGGTAATGGGTAATGTAAATCTACAACTTTGCATTCAAGGATTTTCAAAATATGCATTTTACAAAAGCAGGCAGAACAAACAATACAAAATATCAAACAGTTGGGGACAACTAAGTATACATACACACAAACACACACACACATATCCAAGCAGCTGTTCGTGTAGTTGCGTGCAAACGATAGCCAAAGCAAAATGTGAGACACTAATGTGTGAATACATATGTGCACATCTATGTATGTACATATGTATCTACATATGTATGTATGTACATTCGTCTTGCACTGACAGAGCAAGAAATGTTAATTAATTGAAAATTATATAACATTTTTAAAAGTAATTTTTTCTTTGTTTAGTGCATTTGGCATTAGGGTTTTCATTAATAACTTTATGCAGCAACAACAAATATCAAATAGTTGGGGACATCACATACACACACTCACACACACAACAAGCAACAGTTCGTGTCTATGTGTGCGGTTCTCTACGTACGGTTGAAAAAGTAAAGAGAAACATACATATGTACTATATGTATGCCTGTGTATGAATATAGCATGTATGTACATTCGTATTAATGTACACATTGGGCAATCGAACACAGTTGTTTGATTGTAAAAAAAATAATGCTCTAAAAACAACAGCAACTGTAAGTCATTTGCTCGCCCTTCTTCTTTCGTTTTGACCATTTAATGTTAATTGCAAATGCAAAACGCCAAAAGTTTACAGTTACCGTCGCTAGGCAACGACTGCGTAAGCGATAGAAAAGCAGAAACCGAATAACGGAGCTACGCATATTCTGCTTCGCATTGCGGGCAGATGTATGTATGTATATGATTTGTTCTTATTGATCTCAATAAATAATTCGATTTTATTATTTAAATATTCTGCTTATTGCATTCAAACTTCGATATTTTGATGGTATCGGTGGCTTCAGCTATCGAAAGTTTTACTCTAGCAAATTGAGATGAGAATTGTCAGTGCTTTTTGATCGTGGCTCATCGCTGCACGGCATTGACACGAGTGCCGTGTTTCATATTCCGAGTTTGTGCGTGACCGTATTGACTCAATATGGCACGAAAAGACTCAAATGTGAATTTAAAATTAGGATATACCCTTATAATTATTCCCCTGTTTTGCACATAGTCTATCTTAAAACGTTGCGTTATCTCTATATATAAAACAGTTTGTCCTGACTAATTGGTGATCAACGCACAGCCCAAACGGTAAAAGATGAAATTTGGACTCAAGTATCCTTTCATAGTATCCATCATAGTGTAGAAGCACACTAAGAAAGGCTTTTGGAAAATACTAGCTCCAAAGGGGGAAAAACGAGCTTTAAAAAATATTAGTTATAGTGGTCATGTTCGTTTTACGAAATAGTTTGGCAAGAACAAAAATGTAACGGACTACTGAACAATTTTTTGTCAAGAACAGAAAATGTTCATTTAAATACCTTAAATGCCTTCCTACTGGTAACTTTTAAGGTGAAACATATGCACACACAAAATAAATACAATTGGAAACATTATATTGAGCCGGGTTAAGACGGGCAATACCTGCTAGTATGAGAATATTTAAAGAAATCTCTTTACAAATTAACTTTCATACGAACGACAATATACTGTTACAATTATGCTGTGACATAATCTAGCAGACGGTGATACAAAAATATATCCAACTTCAAACACAAGGAATAACCGTAAGAATGACGTTGTATATATAATAAGAGAAAATAATCTCAAATGGTTCGTAAGCAAGTGACTCTTATCGCTTTTCTCTCTTGACTGGCGTGGCGGGCGACCGCTGACACCGACTCCAAAAATAACAATAATTCTACTTACATTATTGTAGAAGATATACACAATTACTTGTTTACTTTTTAGCGCATATTAATTTGTGTTAGAATTGTTTAAAGTTGGTTTTTTTTTTTTGTTTTTGTTAACATTGTTGTTGGAGCCGTTTCAATAGAGCGGGGGATATGCGCATAAAACCGTCAGTTGCACCAATGAGCACCACAATCCAATAAAGGTCCAGTTTTGTAACGTATATAAGGTTAAGTTGGTTGGGGTAGGTTTTATTTCCTAATAAATATACAAGTTTAGCTTTTTCACTTTAAATTCACAATGAACTTACGCTTCTTTTCTCTCCTGGTCTCAACAATCGAATGACCAAAGAAGCCATATTTCTATCTTATCAGTGTTACAAATCGGTTACAAATTGGTGTTAGTAAACGCAAATTCTAGGTGTTATCGCAATTCGTTAAATATTCGTTAGTTTTAAATTAGCGCATTTTCTGCGCAACAATTTTCTTATTTTATTCGGTCATTCCTCATTTTCCATCTCCACCGTCTGAGTTTTTACTCATTTAGATTTAATTATTTTAAAAATTTGTATATATACATAAATAAACCATTTATGTAAACACCACACTTACGATGTCGCGGGACAAACTTATTAATTGTGTCACGATCGCAAATCTTATTTTTTTTAAAAATTGTTGTCTCTGTACATGAAATGTACAAGAGTATATTAGGTTTGCGGGAGCTGAAAAATGTAACAGGCAGAAGGAGGCGTGGCAGACCCCACAAAGTATATATATTATTGATCACCGTGACAATAAGAGTCGATCTAGCCCTGTCTGTCTGTCTGTCTGTCCGTGCGTCCGTATGAACACCTGGATTTCAGATACTATAAGAGATAGTGACACCAAATTTTGCACAAAGATGCCTTATGTGTGTACACTATACGAGTTTGTTTTATTTTATTGATTTTGCCCCCCACTTCCCCCCTATGGGGGTTTTCCCGAAAATGTGTATTTTGAATTTCCCTCCCTCCCCCTCTCCGCCACAAATCGTAACTCCCGTAAATCTTCTAACTCAAATTCGCCCCAGTTAGTGCTTAGTGCCGCCAGTTGGTGCTTATGTGTCCGGATGTCAAGTTTCATAATGATAGACCGATTTAGCAGGAAGTTATAGCCGTCTGTACCCAAAGGGTAAAATGGTATATTAGTTTTGTGCGAGTGTACATGGAACACACAGAAGGAACGTGGCAGACCCCACAAAGTATATATATTCTTGATCAGGATGACAAGCCAAGTCGATATAGCCATGTCCTTTGTCCGTCTGTCTGTCCGTCTGTTTGTATGATCGCAAGGATCTCAGAAAGTATAAGAGTTGGAGTAACCAGAGTAACTTGGTATGCAGATTCTCCTGGTATGCTGATTCTCCCGAGAAAGGACGAGCTTATTTCATTTTTTGGAATTTTGCACAACCTAATATATATGATCACGGATCATATCCGTAGATATAGTGTTGTGTGACAGTTGCGAAGCAAGAAGATATAAATTCTTACAATCTCCTGGAAAACTTCATCTTAAGGACATAATGAAAATCCGCACACGTTTTGTCAAAAGATCTAACAATTTACCGGTGGCAATTGAACACTTGACAAATATATTTGACAGATTATTGGTTAGTCACACTTGTGGCAGAGAAATTGGTAAACTATTAGATTGGTGGCTGTTTATATGAATCAGATTGAAGGATTCTACTTAGCTTATACACTGTTTTCAGCTACTTACATATATACAAGTATAACTTAAATACTATATTTTTATGTAAAATATGTATTTTCTGAACATTTAATTCTATGAAATATTTATTATTTAGATCCTACGAAATAACACGAAAAGATCGACTATATAAGAATATCGAGCGCATGCAGCATCTACGGGGAATGAAACATTTTGACATTGTACCACAGTCCTTTATACTTCCTTTAGAGTACCGTGATTTAATGGTCGCACATAACAAACAAAGAGGACCTTGGATAGTTAAACCGGCAGCTTCAAGCAGAGGTCGAGGAATTTTTATTGTAAACACGGTAATTCAATATAAATTTAATTATAAAACAGTTATTATTTATTTTTTATAATTCACAGCCGGATCAAATACCCCAGGACGAGCAAGTATTGGTGTCAAAGTATATAGCTGATCCCCTTTGTATTGATGGTCATAAGTGTGATTTAAGAATTTATGTATTGGTTACTTCTTTTGACCCACTTATTATATACCTTTACGAAGAAGGGCTTGTAAGGCTAGCAACAGTTAGATACGATCGGCACGCAGATAATCTGTGGAATCCCTGCATGCACCTTTGTAATTATAGCATAAATAAATATCACTCTGATTACATAAGATCATCAGATGCTCAGGATGAAGATGTGGGACATAAATGGACATTGTCAGCACTTTTAAGGCATCTTAAGTTTCAAGGTTGTAATACACAGCTTTTAATGCTGAATATTGAAGATTTAATTATAAAGGCTGTGTTGGCTTGTGCTCAGACCATTATATCGGCGTGCCGAATGTTTGTACCAAGTGGAAATAATTGCTTCGAACTATATGGATTTGATATTTTAATAGATAATGCTCTTAAACCTTGGTTATTGGAAGTTAATCTTTCTCCGTCAATGGGCGTAGATAGTCCTCTTGACACTAAAGTAAAGGCATGTCTCATTGCCGACTTGCTCACTTGCGTAGGCATCCCAGCTTACAGTCCAGAAATGCGATCGCATTATGACAGTAAGTGGTCTCGGTTCCGTAGTTTAAGCTGTCAACGACGAATTGAATCAACTGATTCGAATAAACCGATCCAATCTAAAAAATCAAAAAGAAAAGGTTCAAACCTTATTCATCTTACGATGGAAGAGCAACGTATTCTGAGAAATGCAAAATTGCAATACTCACGACGTGGGGGTTTTGTTCGAATTTTTCCGACGGATGACACGATGCAGCGATATGGACATTTTTTGGATCCTGCAAATGGAATTCCAGTTTCAACTCCAAATGTTTTAGGACAAACGTTTCAAGCATTAACTATGCAACATAACTACAATCAAATGCTACACTCAAATTTATATTGTAATGAACCTCGATGTGGTAAAGAAGATAATTCACAGGAAAACCGCATGAGACAATACGAAAGAGCTTTGGAGACAGAATCCGTAATTCCCTTTGCAAAAAAACCTTCGGTAGAAAAATGTGAAGAAGAGGGAAGACGATTGCGCAAACAAATATTAAAAAGAATAGGAAATGGTTCAGAGTTAACGCAATTTCAAGCTCGGCAGACATTTAGTTTATATTTAGAATCAGTGCTGCGACGAATAACACAAGAACCGAAAGACATACATGAAAAAATTATTCTCAAATTTTTAAATAAGTTTGGAGGTTCTGTTAAACCACCAGTTTTATTTAGAAACATACATAATATAAAGGTTATAAGCAAGGCTCGATCAGCAATGGTAGCCAAATTACTTGGTGATTTTCTTGAATTATATAAAAAGGACACAGAAGCATATGTGGATTCTTTTGATCATTTCGGAATGATACCAAGCACCACCTATAATGATTTTTTGATGCACGCGGAAGAGTCAGATTTAGAGGCAGTATTAACTCTCCACACAAATATAACTGGAATAATGCCCTTTTTGTATAACAGGTGTGGATTGTCAGTACCGCCAACACCACCCATTCCGTCCGGCTTGCATGGATTTTTAAGAGCTCTTCCTGCCATGGTATCAACTACCAGTATGGCTAGAGAAGTAAGCAAATACGATGGATATTTCAAAAATAGTGAGAGAGACTTTGAAAATGTACAAAACATTTCTGTAGGTTCAAAAAGCTTAAGGAGATTATAATTGTGACTCATTATTATCTAGACTATTTTCCTATTACAAAACATTAAGCTTTGATAGATTAGTATTTGGAATTAATATTTAGCGCAATTAGGCCGGACTTAAAAATTGTACAATTATTTCAAAATTCTACTTTAGTATTGCCATTTTTAATGTTAAATGAACTAAAGCTTTTTATATTACATTATACAACTGCACAAAATATAATACAGACTAAAATTAATTAAATAAATAACCTTTGTAACTACTTTTACGTCCTTCGTTTGATTTATTGTCTTGAGCTCGATAAGGCGACCCTTCTTATTGTAAATAGCCGCGTGCGAACTAAATCGCAGTCTATCTACTGTAACGGTGCTACTCTGCGCGGGTAAACTCGCCGGCCAGAGTGTACTGGGAATTTAAACTATGGGCACCCCAAAGTGCGATTCTTTAAATAAAAATATAAACTTTAATTAAGCCACATGGTCCTTTTACTGCACGTCCACTCTTGACTGCCTTCAGGCTCCGACTAACCTAAAACTAAACTCCAAACCATGCTTCCCGCCTTTTTTACTTACACTACTAGAAATCTGTACATATTAACTTATATACTAACCTTAAAACCATGCTTACAACTACATCCACGCCTTATGCGCCTACAGTGATCTCGGTCGTAACGACGCCTTGCGTGTCTCAGCATTCAGCTAGCGCGTCATTACACCTCCCCCTTTCCCCAAGGGGCCGAATGGGCCCGATGGGTGGTGTTTTCGAATTCTGCCAGCATCGCGCCACAATCGAAAGGCAGATGACTAACAGCTGCGTTTGGCCTCCTGTCGACGCCACCTGTAACTTCACAGCCAGTTGCTCGCTCTGCCATTTTGTCGCATCGTTGCCTTCATTCTGGCAGCTCGCCATTTCCGCTGCGTGTTTGCATTCAAATTGCGGTGTGCGGAATATGTTGGTGTATTGGAACGAGCTGCAACTCGCGCTTAAATTACTGACCATATCTTTTAGACGCAGTCTGCGCGGCTTTCCGCCGATGAACTACCTGTAGTACGCGTCAGCTGGTTATGTGCCTGCGGCATGCACGTGCTCGTGCACATCTTATGCTGCGTCAACGCCAGTGCAACGGGCCTCCTATCGGTGCCGTTGAGGTATAATTTGTGCTATATGTGGCTGAAACGCAATAAATTCGATTATGTCTGCAGGCTTAGGAGCGCCTGCTTTGCTTGCACCGACGCTGGACCGCTGGCCTGGCTGTGCTGGCGTCGCTGCCATGGTTGCGGACGGCGTTCCTACCGCTGTTGTCCCCACCTTCATCAACATTGTCGCAGCCGCTGCTGCACTGTTGCCGCTGCTGTTGACGTCGCAACCGCTGCTGCTAACGTCGCTGCTGGCGCGTCACCACCTTTTGGGTTTCGCCGCTACCATTACAGAAGCAGCTTCTGCTTCGCTGCTGCCTCGCCGTTTTTGACGACGCTAATACCCCCGCGGTGGCATTCCTCCTTCTGCCGTAGTGGCGCGGCCACGCACAGTCTCCATGGGGACACAATCTCCTCTCCCAGCACTTGTGCGATGGTACATGCGGTCATTCTGCATAGCGAAATCGGAATATTTGCCGTGGCTCTCCAACACTGCTGTCACCTCGTCCGCGTCCCGCAGTTCCAGTGTTCGGCCACCCACGATCACTGCCCCGGTGGCTCTATGGATATAATCCAGCCCCAGTGTGAACTCATCGATGCAGCGGCAATACCACACGGCTGTTGCCAACCGTTATTGTCTCTTCACGGACCGTCTTTTGTGTCCCATCAGCCGTCGACACAGTCACGCCCACGGACCGCAGATTTCCTCCGTCCGCTGCTCCCCTCCCAGCGCGCCTGGAACTGCTGCCACCGACGGTAGAATCGTGGCTGGGCGCGGGGTGCTCGACTCACCGCTATTATCGCTAATTGTGTTGGAGAGGGGGAGGGGAGGAATATTCCAAAATACACTTTCTGCGTATTCATTTAAGGCATATTGGACTAAAATTTTGTGTCTTTAAGTCTTATAGTCTCCAAAATATAGCTGATTATACGAAAATCAAAAATCAAAAAATAAAACAAACTTGCACAGCGTACATGCATAACGCATCTTTGTGCAAGATTTTGTGTCTCTAGCTCTTGTAGTCTCTAAGATCCAGGTGTTCATATGGATGGATGGACAGACGGTCATACAGACATACAGGCGGACAGACAGACTCGTTTTGTCAGCCTGATCAAGAATATATATACTTTGTGGGGTCTGCCATGACTCCTTCTGCCTGTTACATGTTTCAGCTCCCGCAAACCTAATATACTCTTGCACATTTCATGCCTCTGTGCATGATTAATTGATCAAAATTAGAAAAATTTTAAAGTAGCTCACATTAATAATTCATACATAAGCAATGTCAATACAAGTAAATACCTTGGGGTATACCTGGATAAATTTCTGTATTTTAACAATCACGTGAACAAACAAATAGCAAAAGCAAAAAAAGCATGCATGTTTAAGAATATGCACCTCCATGCACAGAACGCCAGAAAGCAGAGCTTGCAAATAACTGTTAACCGTTTTTCACTTTGCGGTCCGAAAAAAACATGCATGATTGCTCTCGTTCTGAGCATAACTCTTCCTTTGTCTTCGTTTTTGTTTTCGGTTGAGTGTTTTGCGTAGAGCTGTTTGTTATACGCTCGTTTAATGACAACTTACAGAAATGAAATGCGCAGCTGTCATTGAAAGCGCTAATTTTAAACTGCATATGGGCATTTCCACAGAAATGTCAACCGCAGCCAAAAAATTCAAAGTCCATAAAATTATGATGTTTTAACATATTTGTATAGAGAATCTATCAAATTTAACTAATCTAATCAAATTTTACATTTATTCATAACACATTTCGAAAAATTCAAATGCAAAGTCGAACAACTGCAAAAGTTAAGTTTTGAACACATATGTTGCACTTTTTGTTTTGATTACTGTTCTTAATGAGAGACGTCATGCGTTGATATTTGCTCTTTTAAATATTGTTTGTTATTTAGGCAATATAAGAAAAATGTAAAAGGAACGATGCGATTGCCAATTACGGTAAATTTTTAACTCTGCTTTAAGGTATACTTCAATGTCGCGTGCGACATCGAAAAAGTACATTTGTTATCAGAGCGTCAAAGGTGTTTATACAAGGAGCGTCAAATATTAGCTGCAAACACAGTTTTTTATTGCATATAATATTTTAAAAATTTTGCGCGAAAATAATTAACGCTTTGGTCGCAGAACTTATTTAAAGTTTGTCGCGTGCGACATCGTAAGTGCAAAATGTCTAAATGAAAAAATCAAAAAAAATCTAAAACAGCTTTATTTGTATATATACATACAAAATATCACTTTTAAAATGTAGATGAGTAAGAACGGAGCCGAGAAAAATAAGTCTAACTGCAAACGGTGGAGAGAGAGGTTAAAGGATGATGAAGCAAAATTACAAAATTATAAATTGAAAAACAAGGAAAGAATGCGCAATTTGAGGAAGAGATGGAAAGAGCAGGCTGAAGGTAAAGAAAAAATAATTGAAGAGCGGCGGATATATAATCGCACACGCCAACGAGAGAGACGCCAAAAAGTCTTCGAAAATGAAATATCAGGCGCTCGTCAAAGTCAAACCGCACCTTACGAATGTAGACAAACCTTGGCGAAAGCGGTAAAAAAAGTGGAAAAAGCGATGCCAAAGAACATACACAAAAGAGTTAAAGTTTTTGAGGTCCTGATCAAAAAGTATAAGCAGAATTTAGGAAACGAAAACGTAAACCAATCTAGCCAAATAGTGTCAGTTAATGCCATCAATGATTTTTATCAGAATGATAATGTTCCATCAGTTAGAAGGAGCTAGGACTGCATATTCCATTTAAAAAAATATATATTTGGCATAAGTAATGCTATTAAGTTCAGTTAGTTTCTGGTATTCTTATATATGTAGATGAATATACTTGTACTTATTTTTGTTTTTTCTTTATTGAAGAAAATTTGTTATAATTTTTATTTTGAAAAAAAAAAGTATATATAAAAATCATTTATAATCTTCTTATGTATTTCTAACTGCACATAAATAAAAAAAAAAACATTAAAAGTATGATGGAAGAAAATGCGACAGGGGTTAAAAATTAAATAATAAATAAACCACCTAATATTTTTGAATGAAATAAAAAGCATTATTAAGATACATCAATGCAAAACATCTTAAAGTTATACGCATTAAAATTTTTCTTCTGGTTTCGCTGAAATCAGTGTTTGAACTGTTCGCCGAAAAAGCGACTTCTATATATGTCGCGTGCGAATGCCTTGGTTTTTTTAAATTATCTCAAAAACTAAACAATCCCCAAAATCCACCTTAGCACCAACAATAGAGCTAGTCAAGAGCTATAACTTTCTCCTTTTGTGAAAACAAAATTATGTTTTGGCATATGTTTTTATACTCTGTACATGAAATGTACAGAAGTATATTAGGTTTGCGGGAGCTGAAAAATGTAACAGGCAGAAGGAGGCGTGGCAGACCCCACAAAGTATATATATTCTTGATCAGCATGACGAGACGAGTCGATCTAGCCCTGTCTGTCTGTCTGTCCGTCTGTCAGTCTGTCCGTCTGTCCGTCCGTATGAACACCTGGATCTCAGAGACTATAAGAGATAGAGACACCAAATTTTGCACAAAGATGCGTTATGTGTGTATTCTATACGAGTTTGTTTTATTTTTTTGATTTTCCACCCCACTTCCCTCCTATGGGGGTTTTCCCGATTTTCCATTCGTATAATCGCCTATATCTCGGAGGCTATAAGACCTAGGAACACCAAATTTTAGTCCCAGATGCCTTATGTGAATACGCAGAAAATGTATTTTTTGGAATTTCCCTCCCTCCCCCCTCTCCCCCGCAAATGCGATTTTCTCTAACTCCCGTAATTCTTGGAATTTCGAACTAAAATTTTGCAAATACCCCCAGTTGGTTATTATGTGTCCGTATGCCAAGTTTCACTATGATAGACCGATTTACCAAGTTATAGCCATAAATATATTTGCTGCTGCAGCGCTGCTCAAGCGCTGCCCGCGGCTGTTGTTGATGTTGCTGTTTGGTTGACTGCGAAAATGCTTACACAGACACGAATAGATGCGCATAGGCATACATACACTCACACAGACGCAATTGCTATGTAAATGTGCAATTATACACCCTTTACGTGAGTTCGAATACCGAGAAAGGTAAAATCGAT